GACATTCATTCTTAACCTCTTTACGCATTATGTTATTCACTGGGCTTTAGCTCACTGCTCATATATATATGTAGGTGTACAGGCACCAGACCGCGGCTAGGAGCGTCAGGGTTACTCCAGTTTTGTCAAGCCAACTACCGTGCCTCACTGCGAGGTTCCAAGCCTATCATGCCAAGGCTTAGGGGTGTTTTAGGACTCCCCCTTCTGTACTGTCTTACTGTTTGTAATAACCCCAAATTACTGGTATCAGTCTCAAGTTGTGCTACATTGGATTCATTTTCTGGAATAGTACGCTCGTCTTCAATGATCATTTTGTGCAAAATAATGCACGTCTTCATGATGTAGTACAGATCCTCATCACTCCAACCTCTAGCTGGCACGCTGACAATATTAAATCGTGCTTGGAGCACTCCAAATGCCCTTTTGACATCTTTCCGACATGCCTCCCGCATCCTCTCAAATAGTTGTCTCTTTGCGCCTTGAGGTTGAGATATTGTTTTCACAATCGTTGCCCAACGAGGATAGATACCATCAGCAAGATAATACCCCATGGTGTATGCGTGATTATTGATGGTGTAGTTGGCAGTGGGGGCACGTCCTCTAGTTAATTCAGCAAATAAAGGCGACCTGTCAAGAACAGTAATCTCATTTAGAGAGCCAGGCATGCCAAAGAAAGTATGCCAAATCCACAAGTCATAGGAGGCAACTCCCTCGAGTACAACTGTTGGTTTGTGATAGTGTCCAGTGTAAGCACCGGCTTGGGCACTTGGACATTTATCCCAACGCCAGTGCATATAATCCAAACTCCCTAACATTCCAGGAAACCTGCGTTGCTCTCCCTCTTGCAATAATCTGGCAACATCTGCTTCATTTGGAGATCTTAAGTAAACGGCTTCATAGGTAGCAACAATTGATCTGGTAAAAAAATTTAAGGTGGCAATTGCAGTACTTTCACCGATTCTAATGTACTCGTCTACAACATCAGTAGGTATGCCGTATTGGAGGATCCGAAGTGCTGCAGTCATCTTCTGTACATCGGATAATGCAGGAGCACCAGTGGCATCACGGGATTGGATGAAGTGCTCATTCACATGTTGAATATCATGTAAGATACTGACAAACAGTGACTGCCTCATTCGAAAACGTCTTCCGAAGTATTCTTCTGTATAGATAGGATTATCTGCAAAAAAATCTCTATAAATTTGTTCGTCGCCTTTGACCCTCTCACGATTAATGTATCGACGACCACTTGTGAAACTAATATGTCTAGTTGGTTGGTTTAGGGTTAACGCTTGTATTCTTTGTTGTTGCGTTGTTAACAATTGCATCATTATTATGTCATCATTAGATGATGAAGATTCATCAAAATCTCCATTTAATATGGCTTTACTCAAATTGTTCATTGTAGGTGGATGGGTGAGTAGGTGAATATGAAAATTGTAGAAAA